ATTCACCAGTGAGTGATTGTGAAGCTAATTTATACAATGTTTTATTCTCCTGACTGGGAAGAACACTTATCAGCCTTGGTAATGGTACTGTATTTGATCAGATAGATGAAGCATCATTATCCTTGAATTTAAGCATGTGCCTTCCAGAGGGCTGCTGTCACTTGGGAAAACAGGTTATCCAAGGTCTAGCACATCAAAAGTGACCAGTATTCCTGGGGTGCAGGGCAGATTTTGGAAGGGAGGGGGACCAAGCAATGAGTAAAACTTTTAAGGTTATCCAGCCATACTTGATGAGGCAATTGGCGTGATTTGGGCTAATGGTTTAATACACTCAACATTTTGATTGATGCTGGATAACCCATAATCACCCATAAACTGACTATTGGACAACAGTCTACATAACAGATAGCCTTCTCTATAAGGTATGGCAAGTTTAAATTTACTGAGCCATAGTATTCTGTAATGTTACACATTATGTGTGGACACATTTATAGATGTATTGCTTTATTGTAACAGACATAATTTCACATTAGGTCAAACTTGAAGTTTTTAGCTTTGCTGCAGTAACAAATTGGCCTATTTTAAATATTGGAAAAATTATGTTGACAATTGCATTTGACATAGGCTTGGTGTAGGCCATAAAGAACGTTTGCTATTTGAAAGAATGCTGTAATAGATCTTTGTTTTTTTTTTCTGTATTGCATCCTGCACAACTTAGGCAGCTCAATTGTCAACTTGTTCAGGACCTAAAACCCACAAAGATGGAACACAAACAATGCATGGAGTCAACACAAAAATACCGCAAGTGTAGAAGTTTTTGACATTTTAGAGTATTCATCCCTCATTAAATTGGTAGGCCATAATGGAAGTGAAGATTTTTAAAGCTTTGTGTAGGCACTTCTGCCAACAAATGGAGGGAAAAGGAGACCTTGGGAACGTGTCTGCACAGATGCATGTGTGTGAAAGTGGACTCCTACCTGCAGCAACCACATGCTGTGTGGAGTTTGTGATGGTCAACAGTTTGAGTACAAACATTTAGATATCCAACTTACTTTTTTTTCTCTCTCAAATATGGGTGGAAGGATCAGGGTCCCCCTGCTGTCTGCACCCCTGGCTATTGCTGAATTCCCAGTGACTACTACTAAAAGCAAGTGTGGAAGTAAAATTGGACATTGGTAGGCCCAGGAGAGCAGGCATATTGGGTCTGCTATGTCTTAGGCCTTAGGCAAGAAGAGATTGTTTTGAATACTGTGTGACCTCGCTTTGTGATAGCTGCCTGTGGTTAGTTCCGCAGACCCTGAAGAGAGATCGGACCTTGGAGAGACAGACAGCGGAGAAGGGGGGGGGGGGGACTGTCTGCAGGAAGGGACTGGTGCACGAAGAGTTATAGTTATAGTCGCAGTAGACAATATACAATATGTTACGCGGTAGTGCAAATGTATAAGTAATTGTTACATTAATCATACTAATCAAATGTTAACCATGCATTTGCAGTGATTCAATGACAATATGTCAATGTGTTAATCATTAATCAATGGAACACCCAAACATTAACAGTGAGTCAATGTCATATACTCCATATCTATATACATATCTCAAGTAGAGTCTAGCAGTCGAGACAAATTCCGGTAAATTGAGCAAAATGGGTGATTTTACCTTGCTACAAAGGTGAACCAATAGAGCAGGAGCAATGTGCTTGTTATAAGTTTGAGCTTGGTTTGTTGGTGTTTTGTGACCAATCAGGACTTAGAAATCCTTATCGGGAATTGGGAGCTATGGTTCAACTGGTTGCTCTTTGTGCTCGAGGTTACTTGGTACCGAGTGCCAGAGTGTGATGGGAGCGCTTTGTTGGATTGCTCGAATAAAAGAGATTACTTTACTCACCAACTGAGAGGTCCAGAGTCTTATTCTAAGTGGCTCAACTAGAGTTATCAGAGAGGTTGATTTATATTTTTTCTACCACACAAACTATGGTAATGCCTTGTATAATAGGTTGTTGTCAAAATATTCCAGACAGATCAACAGATTGGCTCAGGACTCAAACTTTTGAGTGGACACTTGAATGTTGAATGTCAGTTTATGTTTGATTCTGTGAAGTTCTGTGTGTTCCTCTCTGGTACTTATTACCTTCATTTTGAGTTACCATTCAAGTTAGAGATGGATGCTAGTTTTATGGTTTTTGTGCCTATTTTAATCTTGGAGGATAAGGCTGGGATTGTTCATCCTGTTTACTCATTTTCAAAGAAATTTTATAAGGATCAACAAAATGATCAATGAGGTTGATATTGAATCAAGCTCCTTGCCAGTGACAGTATATACTGACCATGATCCTTCATTGTTCCAGGATTAGATGCATGTCACCTACCAATGAATGATGCTCTATGGCCCGTTCTCTAAATTGCGACCTAGAAATATGGCACAAGAAAAGCACCCAGTTTCATAGTGGATGCCTTGTACATACCTATGGATTGTGGGGGGAGACCAGGGTACTTGGAGAAACCATGTGCAAAACAGGGGCAAGACATTCAAAATCTACATACACAGAAACAGGTGCTGTTTGGTAAGTGTTCTTAATATTTCTGCCATACGTGGAAGTGTGAATTATACATTTAAAAATCACATCCATTTACTGATAAAATCAGCCTGTCTTACATTACAAAAGATGGTTCACAGACCATTAGTTAAGTACGATGGGAAAAGTGGAAGCAGGACCAGGGAGACGAGAGATCAGGGAATGCAGGGTTAATTCGGAATCTATCCAAATGCAGGACACAGGAACATGTAACATTAATGACATGACTGGGGAAACAGACTTGAACGTGGACTGAAATACACAAGACTAATGGCAGGAAACGTAGAACAGCTGGTAAATGTAGGGATTCCACACGAGGTTAATGAGGGGGGCGTGGCACACAGGAGGATCGTACGAGCTGGGTGTGACATTAAGGCCCTTGAAATGTTATTGAAGCCCTAAACTGGCAAAATAAGGCCGCTAAACTGTGAGTCCCTTTGTCCCTGTAAAATCTGCTTTGTACTAATTGTACTAATAACTGACAACATTGGTTTCACTGGTTATTTTCACGTGCTGTACCTCAGCATCTCAGTAGATAATCTTTTCATCCATTTAAGCCATTTAAGCCTGTGACTGGATTTGTTTGTTGCATTTTGGGGATGAAGATAATTGTGTGAAAAATCAATAATCAAAAGGAATGGTATAATGTAACACAGCTTTTTAGAAGGGACTATTGCTGTGAAAGCTAGTTTTCAAAATAATAGCTTCAGTATTGACTGTCTGTGTCCAAAACATTTTTTTCATGGTGTTTTCCATGGAATTATTAAGGTATGTATGTGGAAAATCAAAAATCAAATGTCCAACCAAATGCATTATGCATTATGTTACATTAAATATTATAAGTTACATTTGCATTTTGTCTCATATTTATGTACAATTTAGCAAAGTTAAGCAATGGCGCTGCTCTAAAATGAGCTATTTTCTGACATTGACAATTTAAAACTTTAAAAGGTTACACCACACACCTGTAAACAAACTACAGACAGCCATAGGCCAAGCAGAGGCAATGAATCTTCATTTTTGTTGAACTCTACAAAGGCAAGATAAGCCAACTGGCACACATTGTAATACAAGTATTACAAAAAATGTCTATAGCTGCATAAATCAACAACTGAAAGAACAAACACAATATCATACCAAGATGGACTAACAGAACCTGGCAGAAAGATTTATTCCATTTATTACAACCATTATGCATAGAAAATTAACAGTGAAAGTGAGACTGCTCAGTTTCAGATTTGTGTGGTAAGCACCATTTCACTTGTTTACAGGAGAAAGCTGGGATTTAAGTAGAATATTGGCTAAAATGAAATGTATACACATGCAAGCTGATATAATGAGCCAGTAAATGTTTAGGACTAATACCTTTAGTGCAACCTCTGGGCAACTGTAATGTACAGCTAAATGCAACATTACACAGTACATGTGAGGCTTCTGTATGAAACACCACCAACAACAACAACAACAATTATTATAATCATGATGATAATAATAGCTTGTTAGACTATTTTTAACACTTAGTATTAAGCTATTACTTATGTATTAATTAACCACAAACAAAACTTTAGTTACATACTGCTCTCATGTTCGTTCATCAATGAATCATGACGCATCTTTGTCATGATAAATCTTTGTCAACTACTGAAGGAACTACCAAGGAACTGCTGAATGAAGAAGTTATTACACAAGTGACATACTGGTGCCATGATTCTTCATTAATGAATCATGACGCATCTTTTATCTCAGGTAGCTGCTATATTTGTTCATGGTTTGTACTTAAACTGAGTTACTACTAAGTGTTTATGCCCCTCAATTAAAGTGTTACCAGATTATTAAATGTGTTTCCTCACCAGATGTTTTAGATGTTCTTATAAATAATGAATTTAATACATAGAATCCCTGGAGTTCACTTAAGTGTAAAATACCGTAACCCGAGACGGTTCATTGGTCCTACATGGCTGACAGATGCGGGATACCTTGAGTTATTGCGCAACTAATCGCTGACTGGCTATATAAAGCACCTCGCATATAAAGCAATTTTTATAGGTCGATGGCAGCCGCTGGCTCATGCTTATACTAATATTCAATACAGGATTTGTTCACGGTTTCTCCGTAGCCAAGAGTTTTTAAACGCTTTCACCTTAACGAAAATAATACAGCTTTACTATATATCCTCATTGGTTTATGCACACAATGGATATGTTTATTTTCCCTTTTTTCTAAGTTACCACGCCAATTAATTATTAGATTCCAAATAAATGAATTTCCTTGAGATCTGAAAATCGGGAAGTGTATCTGCATGAGCAATAACATTTGCTGAAGAGTAATTTTACTATTTATTCGATACAGCAATTACTAGTAATAACTTCGGCTATTAAGTATAAGCCAATTTTAACTTTTTGTTGCAAATCCCGGCACTTCTCTACTAATGGATACATTTACCATTGCGGTGAATGGTGTCTCGCACACGGAGGATGGAGTAACACCGCATGATCCCTTTGCTGCTCCACTTAAATCCATCGCTCCTTGGAACTTCAAGTTATTGGCAACGCTGATGTTTATTGTCACGTCTTTATCTTTGTCTGAAAATTTCACTGTAATGCTGGTTACCTTTAAGTTCAAACAATTAAGACAGCCTCTGAATTACATCATTGTCAATCTGTCTGTCGCGGATTTTCTCGTGTCACTTATCGGTGGGACCTTAAGTTTTCTTACCAACGCGAACGGCTATTTCTTCTTGGGAAAATCAGCTTGCGTCGTGGAAGGATTCGCTGTCACGTTTTTCGGTAAGAAAACGTTTAATTGTTTTGCATTTGATATCAGTTCGACTAGGAGGGCTTTTAGTTAGCAGATTTACGCTATTTCGCTTGGTGTAATATGAGTATTACCTGATTTTATGCCCCTCTGGTGAACTTTTGTGGAAGATATAGGTGTCATCTCCTCAAATATAAATTTTCTGGCGAAAATGTGCTTTGTACATTTAAGAGGTCATTATTACATTAATATAGGCCTAGTTGACAAAGTATACAGGACAATACAACCAAGAAGAATACAAGCTAAAATAAAAACCAGTGGGACAGCATGAAGTGCTAGATCAACATGATAACGTAAAACACGTCGCTTAGTTGCATATACACTATATCACGCTGTGAAGTTATCGGCTATGCAGTTATGATAACTGTTGAATTAGTTTATTAAAAATGTATTAAAAAGCATTTATTTATTTATGGCAATTTTCAACTTTTCCAACGCCCTTGTGCGTTATGATGTCAAATGTCAGAAAATATTTTTGCTCATTATTTGACTTTGCAAAATGAATGACTTATTTATTGGATACTGAAGTGAAACTTATATAACTTATAACTAAAGCTCTGCTGACCCAACTTGAGTAGGAACTAAACCATATTGGGAGAGAGAAAAAAACAATTTTATTTCAACATATCAGTGTATTTGCCACATTAAATTTGCGGGAAAATATGGATGGATGCTCTGATCTGTGCTAAAAATACAGTACCATTATGGTGACTATCCCATTGTTAAATTTTGTATTTTGCACAAGTCAACAAGGATGAGTATGATCTTACCTAGTAACGGTAAGTAAAGTTAGTAAAGTAAGACAGGTGTTTGATAGCAGCACGATTCTATGTAATGATGTCTTCTCTCTATGCTCTGTGATACATTCTCTTCCTCAATAGGAATAGTGGCTTTGTGGTCCCTGGCTGTACTGGCCTTTGAACGGTTCTTTGTAATCTGCCGTCCACTGGGGAATGTTCGCCTGAGAGGGAGACACGCCACACTGGGTCTCTTATTTGTCTGGACGTTCTCCTTCATCTGGACCATTCCCCCTGTACTTGGCTGGAGCAGCTACACTGTTAGCAAAATTGGTACCACCTGTGAACCCAACTGGTGAGCCTTAGAACAGCCTACAGACCCTATTTATGATGAACCTCTTGGTCTTATGTTACTTATTCAAAGCTTTCCCTGCTGTTGTTGCTTCGATTTCCTTGCATGAAGAGACATTATAAGAAGTCATATACACAACCACGATATATCTAGCCATCTAATGTCAATTTTAGATTAAAATATGTTCTGTATAAACATTATTCCATTAACCAATTTCCTTTGAAATGCCTGAAACAAAATCAAATTCAGCTTCACTACAGCTGTCATACAGTTTCTCTAAATGGAAATGTCACCATTCTTTAATGGTACAATACGAAACATAGAAAAGACTATTACTAAACATTCATAATGCAAATTCCTATTCTACACATACATTGACTAAATAATACGTTCATTTCAAAGACATGTTTAGCACTATTATTGGCTATTGGTGCATCTTTACTTTTTAGAGAGCAGTATTCTGTTTGACATACAAATGACTGTACATCAGAGGCTGAAATGCACATGCATGCATACACACTATCTACTGCTTCTGTCATAGGGGCAGGTATGTGTCATGACTCGAAAATTCCATAAATGATTCAATTTAAATAATCATTAGGAGGATGTTTCCTATCATTGTGGGAATTTTCCATTCACTTCTATGGGCATAACTCATGAAAACCCTAACCCAGCCCTAACCTTAACCATAAGTGACCAAACAAAATGCAAGATTTTTGATTGCAGTCACACATTTGTGTACAACTGAAGTTTATATTGTGGGAACCTGAGAAACACACACACACACAGACACAATGAGTGATTTTGAGATATCAGTTCATGTTTTGCTGCATGTTTTGGACTGTGGGACCTGGAGGAACCACCTGTAAGACAGGAAGAACATGCCCATCTTATGTTTTGGCATGTACTGTATGTATCCTGTGTCTGTGCTCCCCGATAGCCTGTGTTGCCTGGCATAGGATCCACATTCCCCCTTGGCCCTGACCAGGATAAGTGGTTGGAAGATGGATGGATAAATGAACACTTTCCATTCAAATTTACATTCTAAGGAGATTTTTTCCATGATTCATTATTATATCAATCTGATTCCAGCAGACGGAGCCATCACATTGATGACACATGCCGAGCTGGGAGGGAGAAGATTCATTTAATATAAAGATACACTTTAGGTCCATAAAGACACAAACTCATTCCTGCATTCATCAATATACTTTTAGAAAAAAATAGAAACAGACTCTTTCATGTTTTAATGTCTGTCTGCATTAGTTACATTTTGGTAGGCAGGTGCTTTATTCAAAGATGAAAAACTGAAAAAGATGAAAAGTCAGATACTGTAAGAAATATTTAGTCCCTCTGTTTGCTTTATTCTTCTAGGTATTCTGGAGATTATTCAGATCACACCTACATTATCGCTTTCTTCACGACATGCTTCATCATGCCTCTTGGAGTTATCTTTGTCTCCTATGGGAAGCTAATGAGAAAACTGAGGAAGGTAAGTTCTAAATAAAGACATGCTAAGTTCACAAGCTTCATTGTCATGATACAATGAAAACTAGAACAGTAAATGAAAATAAAACAAGACGTTGCATAGAATGGTCATGCAAAATCTCAACAATGATTTATATTTAAATGTAAGTATTGCTTCAGTAAACCATAAGACTGGCAGTGTATAGTAGGGTGGCAGGCTCACCTAGTCTATGATCTGCTAAGTTGTGGACTAAATCGTGATGTTAGAAGCCTCATTTGACATCCACATGTCACAACCTGTCAAGTTTCATTGGCACCATTTCTGCAGATAACTCATGTCTCATTTTGAAGGTGTCTAATGCTCATGGCAGACTGGGCAATGCAAGGAAGCCAGATCGGCAGGTGACGCGCATGGTTGTGGTGATGATCGTCGCCTTCATGGTTGGCTGGACGCCGTATGCTGCCTTCTCGATCGTGGTCACGGCCTGTCCCACCCTCCATCTCGATCCCCGTCTTGCTGCAGTTCCTGCATTCTTTGCCAAAACAGCCGCTGTCTATAACCCAGTCATCTACATCTTTATGAACAAACAGGTGACCTCCCTTTCTTTGTCGCGTCATTCCTCTGGGTGTCAGTCTGGCTTTGTGAACATCGTGTGCTTACTTATCCCAGCATCACCACCCAGTTTTAATACACTGCATTTTCTTTAAGGACAGTGAATGTTTTTAGTGAATGTTCATGAAATTGCAGATGGTCACTTTTCCTCAGCCATTTATACAGCTGTTTATTTTACTGGAAAATGTATGTCTTGCTAAATGGGTATAGGCTACTAATGCATGGTCCTGTCAGGGCATGAACACCTTAAATACTATTAGGATAACATTGATAAAGTTATTTATAAAAATAATAAGAATCTTTCTAAGAATGTGACTGATGACAGGTACATGACCTTGGTAGGATGTATGCTATATATGTGTATTTATATATAATTAAATTCTCTAAGAATGAATATTTCATAATATGCCCGATCAGAGCCAGCATTGTTTTCGGTTCTGAAAAAAATAGTACTTTTACACTGATATCCAAACAGTGTCTTTCTGGACACCCAGCCCCTTTCAATACATTTGTCTTTATTTCAGAACTAAATGTCTTACATGCTTTGCAATTACCCAGAGCCCATAATGGAACACAAATGTATTCACCAAGGTTGTAGTAAAATCCATCAATATTAAACCACCACGTGAATCAGAGGTCTGCTGAGTTACACTGACTGATGAAAACACAGCTGCTAAGAATCTAAAATTATAGTTATTTTAAATTGCTGAATGAAAATTAATCTTCTTAATTTAAAGATTTAATGATCACTTACTTTTGCAACTGTAGTGTAAGAACAAGCTATTAAACTACGTCAATATTTCTCTTAATACAATATTAGTTATTGTATGAATAAAAATAGATATGTGAACAATACAATTCTATTTTAAATAGAGTTAATTCACATTGTACACATTGAATTATCTATTTGATCTGTTTATCAATGCAAGGTAAATACATGGAACACTTTCTAAGTTTGTGTCACGGTGTGAAAGGAACGACTTCTGGAAAGATGGTTCCGACAACAGAATGACAGGACAAGGGGCAATATTATGACATTTTGGAGCTTGTTATTCCCTGAAAGTCATAACCAGATTTGCAGATTTGTATGTTTCATTTGTGTTTATGCTTGTGTCTGTTAATTTAATGCATGTTCTTGCTTACTGGTATGTTCAAACTCTTAATATTTACTGTTTGCAGGAAACACCATAATTAATGCTAATGGTGTCTTTGTCAGTACTGCACTGCATATCTACAATGTTCCTGTATGATTTATGGTTCTCCATGTTTGGTTCTTTTAATACAGTTATTGTTGTTGGCTAACCTGCAATGGTCTGTATGCTCCACAGTTCCGGACGTGTCTTATTCAGCTGTTTAAATGCAATGGGGACACCTTGGAGCCGAACCCTAACCAAACTGTGGACAGAAGGGGCGGGACTGATGAGAACAATACAGGAGAGATAACCGCCATCGCAGCCCGGATCCCCATGGCAGAGGATGCCGCGCAGATGGACAGGAAGTCCAGTGACTGTGGCTCTTTTGTTCAGCTTCCTGTACCTGAGAACAAAGTCTGCCCAATGTAGTGGTAACCATACAGGCCGCCATGTTCACCAACCAGCTCTCTCATCTGTGCGGACAGCACCATGTTTTCTCCCAGTCAAAGGGTATCCAATTAAAAGTTTCTGAATTTCTAAACATTCCAGCTACAAAAGAGGAGAAGTAAGTGGGCAAATTAAAGTTTGTACCTTTAATTGCTGGTTAGACTAAAATGAGCAAAGGATAGTGCTCAAATGGGGCATCAAACATCCAGAAACGTCTTGTGTAACATATTAAAATAACTAATTCTGAAACCACAGTTGTAATTAAATGACCGTTTTACCTTAAGAAAAAAAATGCACAGGGAGTTCTTGCTTAATCCCCAAATGTAACTCTGCCCCAACAATGATCATCTTGGACAATAACGGGAGATGGCTTTGAAGTTTAACTGCAGCAATAGCAAATGGTGTAAAGTTTTTTTCCCCGTCTCAGTCCTTTTCCTTTTGAAGAAACCATTAATTTTCACAGCATTAGAATGTTTTTGTTTCCTAGTCCAAACTGAATGGAGGAGTTAAATCCTGGACATTTTACATGAGTAAACTATGTGCAACATGCAACATTAGCATACCAGTATGAATAGTTATTCTCTTCCTAGTAAGTTTTGTAGGATGAATTAAATCTATGGAGAAAATTAAACCTACACATCTTGGTTTGTAATTTTGAAATAAATAACTTGACATTTAGGAAAAACGTGGTAAGTAAGATATACATTGTATATTGAGGGTAACTTTGTAACCATCGCCATGCACGCACACATGCACGCACACACACACACACACACACACACACACACACAAATAAAACATTGCAAGGAAGCTTACAGATTTATATTTTTTGTTTTAGTCAGGTTTCATGAGTAGAAGTAAAGCTTGCTGAACTGGATTTTAATGAGTGATGCTTCTGAAAAAATTGTGCTGAATGAACAATAAAGCCATTTTAATAAAGAGATAATTTTATAAAAATATGTGCAACAAAAAGTGTGAGCATTTAACCATGAACACTGATTAGGCTTTAAAATCGTTCAGAAACGTGCATTCTATAATAATGGGTTATAAGTATAATAGGTGAAAGATAATTAAAAGGAAAGTCACCACTGAAGTACTGTAAGTCAGTGTTTCTCGGAATCACCAGACAAAATATGGACTGTCTGGCAGGGAGCTGGGAGGGAGCAAAAACGTGGACTGTCTGGCAGGGAGCTGGGAGGGAGCAAAAAC